GACAAGATGATAGACATGGTTCGAAGTTCCAACATCAAATGGAAGGAAGACCTGGAGAGGAAAAAGAAGGAACGGTTGGACGTATTGGATGCTGAAAGGAAAAAGAAGAGGACTGCAGCTCTTGTGAAAGAGCTTGAATCAAAGAAGCAAAAACTGGTGGAAGACGCACAGCTTCAGGTCTCCATGCTGCAGCAAGAGATTGAATCCTTGAAACAGTGCAGGCATTGCCGATGCAAGTAACAAGCTTTTCTGTTTGTCGAGGGACAATTATTGTGTCTTTGAATATTTTATTATTGTAAAAAATGCTTTCAGACAAGGGAATGCATAAGGTCTGTTTTTCACTAGTAACGTCCTAGTGTGCATAGTCTTCTAATCCATCTAATGCGTTACTGATGCAACATTTGCAGAAAGACGGAAGTACGCCGTCTCAACCTAAAGCATTTCTACTTCTCGTCCGAACTTGAGTCTGATGATGTCTGTTTTTCACTAGTAATGTCCCAGTGTGCATCGTCTTCTATTCCATCTAATGCGTTACTGATGCAACATTTGCAGAAAGGCGGAAGTACGCCGTCGCAACACAAAGCATTTCTGCTTCATAAAGCGGCGCACTCACGATGCAATCTCTTGATTAGCACCCTCGTGAGCCCAGAGTCGCGCGCCATCTCAAGAGCTTTCACGCGAATGCACTCCGTTGTTATGGGTAGCGACCTTGCATGCAGCTTCCCGTTGAATTCAGTGAGTAGCGTTTCCAGGAAGGGGTGCACTGCAGTTCGTCCACGAAAAATTCTTTTTAGCTGCTGAAGGATGTTATGCGCTGCTTTTGGCTCCTCCAATATCGGACGCTTTTCTCCGATGCAATGAATTCTCGTTGTGCTGCCAGGTTGCTGTGTGCCTGGCATACTCGATAACTGTTTTCTTAAAGCGTATCGTAAAGTGCTGTTGACTACCACTAATTTCCAAAAGAAATAGAAAAAAGAAAACAGCAGACTGGCTGCAGATAACCGAGACAAAATGGCTTTGCCTAGCCTTGCCCAACTGTGCCTCTTCTGATGCTTACAATGGTAGAGGAGGCTTTTGACTTCAGCTGCCCATTCTTATGAGACTTCCACTTTTTTTTTTCTGCCTAGACTGGTATATAAAACGAGTGTTGACATTTCATTGCATTTTTTTAATTGTCCTATAGTTTGGTTTTTACGTAGTCAAACTAGTAAAACACGTGGTCAAACTGTGTTCGTTCACATGGTGTTCTGTCAGCTCTGCGGTACATTGTGTGCTGCTGCGCGCAATCGTTTCCAAATCCGAATCCTCAACGCTTCCGAATCCTCAACGTCCACCAAGTTTCTAGCTGTTTGGCGCTGCATTTTTTATCGAGCGAATTTGCCGAGACGGCCATCTGCGAACATTGCCATCGATGATCTGCGCGCTGCCGGCGTTTCGATTTCAGCCGAGATAACCTTTGAGGGTTTTGTCGATGTTGACAAACCTCGAGCTGTGTGCGGAATTGACAGATGATGAAATCATTCGTCAAGTTACGGACGATTCTGACTACTTCGACTCGAGATCGAAGAGGCAGCGCCTACACAACCATCGAGCTTGGAGTTGACGCGGGTACTACCGATGGCACGCTGTCATCGGTGTACTGCAACAGCGCCGCGAGCAAGTGGATTGTCGTACCAAATAAAATAAGTGACATTTTTGGGCCAAAGTTTCTGACCAACAAGTTAGCGCCGGCCATTTCGACCTTTATATTTATTTTTTTTAGTAAATGGCTTTTTTCATAGCCAACTAACAAGTACATGGCTTTTTTCATAGCCAACTGAACAATGTATTTGCCAGATCGCTACGAGAATATTGTACTCCTGCCGTGACCCTCTCCATCACGGAAAAACACCTGTAAAAAAAGCTGTGTTTTCACATGTATTCGTTTTTCTGGACAGCCCGTTTTTCCAGGCATTTTCGTGGGCCCTTGAGGGTCCGGGAAATCGTAAGTAGACTGTATTTCAATGGCACAAATTCTCACTTACAGTGAATGTCTGAGCGCTGCCGATTGGTTACAGTGAATGGAGCCATCGCTGCGGTGACCTTCCAGGACCCTGTTTTTGACCGTCATTAAGCCACCTGTGAGGTGCCCATAGATTTTCACTTAAATGCTGGCCTTGCCTCGGCAGCCTTGTAGTTGTCGCTCTTCCCCGAGCATTTTTTTGTTTGTTACGCACTCCTCTATCCCCTACTCTGAGCATCACCAAACGAAGCACATGTTTTCACAACGCCACCGATCTTTCGAAGACTGGTTGGGTGCGGACTGGTCTCCCCTCGGTTTTTGATCGCTGGTTACACTATTGTTGGCTTCACCAGTCTGTAGTGACCAGATGTTCTGCCAACATCGTCTAACGCCAACTGTGCCCAATCGTCTGCGTCTGTGTCATGTCTAGATCATTGTGGCATCATTTCAATGCGTGTGCTTGCGCCACCCCATCATCTTGTATTATTCGTGATTCTTTCTGTATTTCGGACCTGTTTTCGCTCACTTCGCAGTACTCTCATACCCGTGCCACACGGGCTGAGAAAATGGCATTTACCCCCCGAATGCCTTCAGATTTTTTGCCATTTCGCGCGGTTCCACACGAGCGAACGAAATGGCATTCGTCCGAATGCTATTCGCCACAAAATGCCTTCGCCAGAACTCAGTTGACTGAGAAATGCCTACTCTCGACGACACAGCTCGCGAAGTGCGATTTACCTCAAAGTAAATAAAACAAATCATATTCAGCTAAAAATAAAACTTCCCGTCTTTATTTGCACTAAACTTTAAAAAAAGTGCTTTGAACGTTATACGAAGATCAGGTTGAAATGGTTTGAAATTAATTGAAGTTCAATGTCCTGAAGCTGGCGCATAATAACTCGTTTCTGCTCCAGAATTATTCACTCTTGAGCACGATGCTTTGCACGGAAACACACAAGTGCTGCCGTGAAAAAATGAACTCTGCTAACATCTTCTTCAGAGAGATGCGACAGGTGCGATGCGACAGGCGCCATTTTCTAATTACGCTGTGGATCTGACTAGTGTTGGCTTAGGTTGCTACGGTCGGCTGCAACGTCGTAAAACAAAGCAAGCAACTACAACTTAGGACAGCGTAATATGCTTATTTCTACTTTTAATGATTATATGATGTGTATGAAGCTTGTAAACGCTTGTTCATTTTTTTATTGCTATTCCCCCAATGCTCACTTGGAAGGTGCTGCGATCCACATCATCAAGTCAAATGTCGTTCGCTTTGGACGTGTAGCAGCGCCAGCGAAACAAATGTCATTCGGGAACTGAAGGCCTTCGCCACCAAATGTCATTTTCTATGCCCGTGTGGCACAAGTATCAGCATGCTCTCCACTCACGTGGAAGCATAAAAAATCTACTGTTTCACAGAACAAATCGTGAATTATTGAAGTTGGGGGGGCTGTGCAAGCCTACCGGCATCACAATGCGTTTTTTTTTTCTTTCACCTTGGCACACGCAGACCTTTCTCCCAAGTTTTCCTACGCGCAAGTTGTGCATTTTGTGGAGTTTTCAAGCAGGCTACCTGGCCTGCCTTCTTCCCGCTGTATGCTCCCCTGCCTCCCCTTCTCTGTCGCAACTCCTTGCCCGTCTCCACTGTTCTGCTCCGCTCCAAAGGTTGGCGATGCTGGCTCGAATTCAGATGTTGCTTTTTCTCGCTAGAAACACGCACAGAGTACTTACACGTGTCCTGGCTTCTGCGTCATGCTTGCGTGTCTTGCTCGCTGCTGGTGTGCATGTGTGGTCAGGATGGCGGATGGTATGCCTTTCGCGCTGTGTTAAGAATATGTTGGTTGTTTTTTTTGCCGCTCAACAAAACGTCGAAAGTGCCACCGCTCGGCTGGCGCGTAATGACTTAACCATCCAGCAGCCAAATTGCCGCTTCGGGTATTCAGCTGTGGAGAGGCATGGTGAAGGCTTCGTAGGCGGAGGTAGCGGCTACATGTATGCAAAACTGTTTTCACAAGGCCGACTTCATTGAGGTCAGGCCTGTCGCTGAGCTTGAAACTTCCGAACAGGTCCACTCTGGTAGCTTTCGTGGCAGCACGCCATCGGCATGGAAAGGTCGGACATCTGCGATGATTTCATTATGGTTGGTTATGATTCCAACACTGTGGACCCGTGCACAAATGAGGGCATTGAAAATGAAGCGTGCAGCATGAGTGACTTAGAGAAATCAGATAACGACGACAAAACTTTGGATCCAGTGTTCACAAGTGTGCTTGTAGCAATTGGCTACATTAATAGCCTCAGGCAGCTTGTATATGCCACGGGCCTTGGCGAAAAGTACGCCACTACTTCAGGTAAACTCAAGACCACCCTTATCACTTCTGCTCTTCAAAACAAGTGCATTACAGACTTTTCTTGTGAGAAAGATAAATTTTTTTCTCACTCGCAACTCTTTAAAGCTGTGTTTCATTTACTTCAAACTTTGGGATACAGCGAATGGATGCCAGGTCATGCTCAGGTTCGTTATAAGTGGCCTCGACTGAATTTGCAATGCGCTGCCTACTACTGAACTTACAGTAGTGCACGGAACATGCTGTTGTCATATAACATGGTTAAATCGCTTACATGATAGACCAAAGAACAACTCTAACGGCAGCTGGCCCAAATTGAGCCTGACAGTCTCAAAAGTTTCTAGCACCTTCAGAATTGTCGAAAGTGCAGATGCTCCATCACCTAAGCACTGTGTGTGTGAACCTTTATAATGGGGTTAATGAATATATTGTCCATAGCTACCATATCCGTAAGGTAGTGTACTTGCATAGACTCATACTTGAGAACTACTACGCAGTGCTCCTGTGAGATGTAGCTATGGCATTATTAACCGTGAACTCTGTGTGACTTCAAGATGTTACGTTTGATGTGACCAAATTTTAGTTGACAGTTGTCCAGAGTTTAAACTGCGTGTGTAACAACAAATGTTGGTGTGGTTCATTCAACGCAGATGTTGCAGACACGCAACACGGGCGCAGTAGTCGGCTTTCAACGCAGACTGCCAGTGAGAGAGTCTCCCTCTCCTGCGCCTAGAGCGGCAGCGGGCTCTGACGACGACGATGACGAGGAACATTGTCCCGTGCCGCAGTACCGCCAGTCGTTCAGCCTGGCCCTGGAGGAGGCCTTGAATGCTGCTGCAGCCGCATCGGCGGCTTCACATGCCGACAGCGCCCAGTCGCCTGGTGAGGGGAGCCTCATTTGACTTCTGGCATGCCACCTGTCTGCCTTCAATTTTAACTCAGTCGTGTGCCCAGTTCAAATTAGCTTTCTCGGAGAGGTTAAACTTGCCGAATCTGTGTGTAATCTGTCGCCTCTCAATTAAAGGGGGAGGCGGATTTGGGATCGCGAAAAATGGCAAACAAATCAATTTTTTAAAAATCAAGTTTTCAGTTTCTGGAACACTTTTTCTATCTGTTTTCAAAATATCTACGCTGAACACCATTCAGAAGTGCTTCAGAAAATTCATTTCACCCACCTAGGTAGCAAATCTTTTTCTGGAAATAGCCAAAAAACTGCGATTTTCAAAAAATTACGGCTTCGCGATGGCGGGGCCGGGAGCCGGCTTCTTGGGCTCATCGAAAACAGCATTTCTCCGTGTTTTAACTTTCCCGCCTCAGCTGGCTCCTTCCTTTAAAAAAAAGCGCACAAAAAGCAAATGTTTAAAGGTCATTTCGAGGCCCTTGATTGGCTATTGCCGCCATGTTGCCTCAGCTCCCCTCGCCATTGGTCCGATGCTCGCTCCGGGAGTTTGTCGTCTGCTGCTTCTGCGTCGCGAGGACGTGGCTCTTGAAAATAGCTACTTCATGACGTGTTCACGGCTCGATGATCACTTAAGATATAGTTACGCTTTAGTGAGGAGCAGTAGGCGGATGTGCGATCAGGTTATTACGAGCGGGCGCGCGGTCTACGAGCGCGGCATGTCATCGGAGTCTTCTTTAGCCCTAACTGTGCCGACAGCGAGACTGCGGGCAGGAACGATGCACTAGCGCACTCTTGGCAACGCGCTTCTTCGCAAGGAATAAAGCACATCACTCTATAGCTCCTCTGAACCACATACGGGCATTTTATGCATCAGCAGTGGACCACACAGTAAAGCTTGTCACCCCCCAGCCCCCCTTCACTGCTAAGAATTGCTCGGAACGGCAGCTAGCAGTTCATGCGTCGCCACTCGAAAATGCGATGTGAAGCGCAATGCGCGCCGATTTTTTGTGATCGTAGTTACACATTTCGCGCATCGTCACTGAACGCTGCCAGCAAGTGCATTACGCGCCGGCTGCACTGTCCACGATCATATAGAGTGCTGTCAATAAGCTTTTGTGATGCAATTTAGACGTGCTTGGAGTCGTGCTTCATATCACCATTAACGTGTATGAGTGTTCCAAAACAAAGCCTCGTAGGTTAGAGTTTCTGCTACTGGCTGTATGATGATGCATTTCACGGCTAGTGTGGCAAAAGAGCATGTATTAATCGGGGGCACGAATTTTTACATGCCCGTTTCGCGTAATTAATTATACTGCTAAAAATTCCTGTGCCACCAGTCTTCTGCCGATAACTTCGTTATTTGGAAAGAAGGCATAGGCCGTCATGGTGCGATTCATTTTTCTTATGCAATAAACCTCTCTCCAAATAAATAAATAGCCAGTGAATATTTGTAATCAAGTACTTAATTATGCTAATTACACCTTCAGCACAAGAAATATTTGTAATCAGTTGAGTATATGGTCTTATTCAATTACAATCTTTTCTGTCATGCCTATCACACCACTTCTTTATACAAAGAACTTGGTTTGAAATCCATGCTTGTTCATTGTAAATCATGAAAAGGAGGTTATGGAAAAAAATAAGGCAACAAAGACACTGGTCAGAGACCAGATGCCTGGGAAGTAAAATATCACAAGATAAACCTGAGATCACAATTTTTAGGTGTCTTAGAGTCTCTAAAGAAAAGTTGAAACTTAAATGCAGTTTTCTCAATACTGTTTTTTTTTTTTACATTATGCGCAGCCCTGCACGAGGTTCAATAAAGAAATAATTTGTCTCTTGGGAAGTATTTGTGGTATTGCCTCAAAATTTTTCTGGAAGCACTGTGTGGTCATTTGTAGTGTCTGTGACAATTTTCATCAATATCCAACGAGAAACAAGAAAGTAAGAAAGTTCATGAAAAAAAGCTCGTCGAACACTTCGACAGGCTTTTTCTCTCAAGTGTGTTTTAGACATTGTGCATTGCTCGTGGAAAATGTAGCACTGGAATGACTGGACAGATTTTGATGCAGTTTGTTTTTTTCGGAATCCCAAAACATTTCTTGAAGGTATGGCAATCTTAAAATTCTTGTTTATGGCTGTTTTTTTTCTAAAAGATGACTTGTACATGACACTGTTTCTTACAATGTGTGTAGGCAGCCATGATGATCTCTATATAAAAAAAAGAGAAGTGATAAAAATTTTCTAAGATTGTCATATTCAAAGGTCTTCTTTTGAGTAAAGAGTTACTCCATTTGCAGCTTCCTGGCATGTTTTGTTACAGCGCTAGGCTTCCCACGAGCAGACCATACAAGTCGAAGCATGTAGCATGATGTAACTTGAGAACTACTCAGGGTATCATGATGAAACTGCATATTTCAATATTCAAGACACTCATGAGAATGCGTGCCAAATTTCATTGCTCTAGGTCAACAAACAAGAAAGTTTTTTTCAACCCACCTCCCCCTTTAAGGGGGGATGCTACACCTTCCAAAAACTCTTTTATTTTTGCGAGTACCTCAGTCAAATTTGGAGAGCCTATGTAGATTTTACTGCTGATTTCAAAAATCTAATTCTTTTTTTTTGCTGTGACAATTAGTTTTAAAGATATAATGAACTGCGACTCTTTCAATTAAGGCCTAATTAGCTAATTAACTGTAACTTGGATATTGATGTGCAACCTATAGAACCAATTCGGTATGTTCACAGTGTGCAATAAAGTATAAATCATTGTTCTGGGCTATTTCGAAGCAGTTGTGGGATGTTGAATATGACATGAAAAATTTCCCCATCTACACTTGAAACAAAAGATCCATTTAGAGAATTTTCTCCAAAAATTATTACAATAAAACTTACTTTACGACACATCCCCTGCATTTATCTTCGAAACAAAAAAGAAATCGTAATGATAACCCAGATAGAACAAGAGATATTGCTCCGGCATAATGGGAAGCACATGAAAATTGTCGTTTTGAGAAATCGAGAAAAAACGTGGGCACACATTTTTATTGCAGAAGATGCAACAAGACAACCTCAAAACACACCAGAAGCATAGTCTGAATGCATTCTGTGCTCATGCCTCCTCTTCACTAGCTTCCGGAGTTCCAATGAGGCTCTTCTTTTCTTGTTGGAGACAATGCTGCGACGGTGGTCTTTTTCTCTCGCTCTCCTGGCACCAGTACTTGTCGCATTCATGTCCATTTCACCTAAGATTGCCGTTGCAGAATTCAAATTGCCCGTGTTGAAGCGCAGCACTGCCTCTGCAACAGCTGCTTCAACAGCGAACAGGGACGCATGGTGCTCCTTGGGGGCCAAACTCCAGATTACCGAATGTAGGCTCTCATTGGAGTTCTGCGTTTTGCCGCGTTCGCACCTCTGAAGCAGGGCTCTTTCCGAAAGCCGGGTATAAACCGGTAGTAATGCCTCTGCCACGTCTTTCGGTAGATTGTAGGCATGCTGGGGTCGGGCTCACCCTTTGCTTTTGCGGCATTGTGCCGACACCATGAAGTTTCACCAGCTGGGCACTGACTGTGGTCCGAGCATTCATCAGTGGAGGTGACGTGGCGGTATGTGGCCATCACAGCCTTTTGCATCTCGCCCACGTCACCTTCATGCGATTTCAGAGCCCGGCCATAATATGTGCTCAGCCTGCTGATCAGCTCACCTGTGAGCCTGCCTTTCCCACCAAGGCCTCTTTTCCCATCGCACTTTTGTTTCTGCACCAGGTTTCTCAATGCGGTGCCCATCCGTTTCTGTACATGATTAATACAGTCTTCCTTCTGCACGTCAATGTAACCATACACCTTGGCGTCTTGTATGGCGCAAAATGTCCTAGAGTCTCCATCAGACAGCATAGTTGTGTAGCGCAGGCCATGGCGTTCAAGCGACCTCTGAAATAGAATTAGAGCCGCCTCCACTTCCATTTGCCCCGCTTTGCTGTTTGTATTTTTTTGGCATTTGTGGTTAGCCTTCCATTCTTGATAGCCCTCACTACTAGGCTTTGGGCCCACCTCGCAGCCTAGGCAAAAGTTGGAAAGAACGACGTAGTCCAACACGTAGCCACTAAATAATTCGATAACTGTGCCCACGCCGATGTGGGAAGAATGGCCTCGCGTCTTCCACGTGCCGTCGTAGCTAACGGCAATATTGCCCCGGTGGCCGAAGCACAAGTCATCATAAATTGTTCTAACCTTTTCCGCGCATTCGCTCATAGCGGACTCAGCCGCTCGTGTTGCAGCGGGTGCCAGCGTGTTCTTCAAATGCCGCTGAAACGTCTTGTGGTGCATACCGCGGTGTGAGATGCCCATTGTTGCGAAAATATCGTTCATTTACGTTTGGCCGTTGCCGGTAGCCACCATCGCCCTCGAAGCGAGAAGATTTACTTCAAACGGATTGCACGTTTTCGTGCCGTTCGCGCGGGGCGAAGTCCATTCATTCGCGATCTCGCCGCACCTTTCACACTGCACTAGCACTTTCACGGCAAGTCCGTAGTCCCGATCCCCTCTGACGATCGTAGCCGGTCCGTGGCAGGCTTTGCAACACAAGGCACCCATTATCGCGTTTAGGATATCTAGATGCATAAGCAGATAAGGAGCAGCGTGATCCGAGTCCTGTGCGGTTGCCTCGCTACAACTCGCGGTGAAAAAGTCAATTTTCCGTGCAGTTGCTGGCGCCGATGAAAGCCGGTCGAGCGTCGCTTTCTCCCGGGCATGATTTTCTTCAACTTCGGCGTTTGTCATCACCTTGGCGTCGATTCGTAGTCGTCCGGAGTTCGCTTCACCGTCATCGTTGTCGGAGGCAACGCGCTCGGTCGCACCATCGCTGAACGGCCGCGGAGCGTCGACACATCGTTCGTCGGAGTCAACCAAGGGCTCTGATGACTTCGTAGACTTTCTCCCACGACCTTTGCGTTTCCTGCGACCAAATGCGTGCACGGTCCGATACTTTTTTGCGTTTCCAGGCATGGCGATACGATCAGAAGCTTCAGAGTGCTCTGCCGATTTCGAGGCGTCACAGCGGTAACCCTTGCAAAATGGCGTCGGGCCGCGTATGCAGGCGCAAGCCGCGAGCTTCCAGCCAACCGGAAAGCGCCATTTCAGTCACGTGCGCCGTTTAGCCAATGGCAGTGAGCGCGGCTCTTCGTCTTTGAGGCCCCGTTTTTCGAGCCAGGGAAACGCTCAATGTTGCTTACTGAATAAAAAAAAAAAAAACAGCTGAAAACGCGTTCTTTCAAACAAGACCAAAATGGCGCCGATCGAGCGCGTAGTTCCCGCGTATCGTAGAGCCGAAACCTGCGCTATTCGCCCTCAATTTAAAGGGCAGGACGCCCGTTTTCGGTTTTTTAAAGTTGAATAACGATAAAAGTTGATGGTATTCGGCTATGAAATTTTGTAAATAGGTGCGCAATGATGTCGGGAACGCGAAAAGAAGGTCCGCGAAAACTCGATTTTTTGGCTGATTTTCGGTCCCGAAGTGCCGCGTCCCCCCTTAAAGGTAGGTGCAACCAAAAACTGCTAAATGAAAACAACAGCGATGTCAAGTCAATGAGAATCCAAAGATTCTGATAAATCATGCTCACCAAACTTGGAAGGTTGCACAGTAAGATATGTTCATGAATTGCATTTTAAAAGAAACTCCTGCGGTATATAATAATTGTGTGGTTTCAACATTCCAAAACCACGATATGATTATGAGACTGCTTAGTGGAGGGCTCTGAAAATTGGACTCATTTGGGGTTCTTTAATGTGCACCTAAATGTAAGCATGTAGAAAGCTTTCTTTCGGCATATTAGTGCGAAAGTTTTTAGAGGCTCTTTTTTGTATAACAAATGAGCAATGTGAGCCTCTTTGTATATTCACTTACAAGCATTTGTCAACCTCATCCAGATGTTTATGTCATGGTAACAATGTGTCGGAATTGCACAATCGCATTGGCAGACATTCTTTGTTCCACAGAATAATTGCCAGATTTTAGTCTTCAGGAGCCAGTCTTGTCTTCTTCATCTCATTTTTGGGGGGGGGGGGGGGGGGTTGAATTCTAATATTTAAGGCTTTACTATATGCCCGGTTTTTCGTGGCATGTGTGAATGATTCTTCGAACTGGGGCCAGCCTCGGGCTTTTTCTTGGTCGCACGTGTTGTAACAATTTGTGTTTTTTGCAGATGGACAGAAGGGCAAACCCGGATCTAAGAAGAACAAGAAGAAAAATGTCACTCTGCTGTTTACAACATCCATGAATCGTAGCAAGTAGTGCTCATGACACACAGTGCTGGAACGTGGAATTTTTTGCCAAGCCGAAAACGAAAAAAACTGGCTAAGCGAGACGAGGTTCTTGGCCGTACGAGTATGTGCCAGGTTAATTAGGGGTAAATTGTTTTAATCTTTCGAGTTTCTTTCAACAATTTTTGTGACTGTGTGGGTTCTCCGTAACGCAAGACTCTTCAGAGACAAGGACGTTCTGTGAGGTTTAAAAGGAACAGAAAATGCTTTGTTTGTTTTGATCTGTCATGTTCTGTTATTTTAGAGGCAATGGAGGTCGTGGGCAGGATTGCCAGAGAACTGAACCTGTGGAATGCCTACATGGGGGAAGAAAGCTTTGTGATTATTAAATAAAGCGTGATTGCTTGAACCCTCTATTGTGTTTGTTGCGAGTCATTGTTCATTTTTACCGTGTTATGCAATAGTTCAGTTAAATGACTTTCTGCCACATATTTCGGTCACTCCTATCATGCACGTTGAGGCAAAAAAAAAATGCCCTAGGTATTGTGCAGGAATCACACCAGGCACTCTGTGTTGCAGTAGAATATCCTATCACATAGTAGCCCACCAATTCTTGAAGCCTTTTCTCAAAGAAAACCTTATATAAAAGGGCATCATAGCTGGTGGATAATTTCATTAACAGGCGTATTATGTGAATAGCTTCGGGTGTGGCATAAGGTGAATGGATTAACAAGTTGGTCGTTTGCTCCTTATCCATTAAAAGGGCTCAGCCATAACTCATTTTCTGCCACAGCATAAACATCATATGTATGGACATGAAGGTGTGTTCATTGCATTGTGTACACCCCCTGCGCAACAAAGATTCACAGCATATTTACGGAGGGAACGATGATGAGTGGGCAAAGCTCCGCAGGTACATCGGGAACCCGTGAATCCTTCATAGATTTTGCCCAGTCGATACCACTGATCTCTACTAGGGAGAGTTGGATGGCGCATCGAGCGCGCACGGTCGAAGCATCTGGAAGACACCGCTGGTGTCCTCCGGAAGCCACCACCATGAATAGTCTGTTGCTGTGGGTGCAAGGGCTTTTTAATGAAATGCTGGCCTGTAGATGGCTGTGAACTTTGCATATTGACCGACAATGTTGATGCCAAGACATTTTAGGCATAAGTACGTCAAAATTATATTTCCTTTTTACGCATTATCCAAGGAGATGATGGTATTTGACCACCTATTTTTTTTAAAGTGCGTAGGTGTTAAGGTGTTTGGTTTTTTTATATTCAGTTTCCCACGCTCGAGGCCTCAAATATACTAGAAATGGGTCAGTAACTTGAAGAGGGACAACTGGACGCTGTCTCCTGGAAGCAGACTTGGCAGTGATCATTTTGCAGAGTGATCCAAAAACGCAAATGACGTCATCCCAGCATTGTTTTCTTTCCTGGATCACTCACAAAAGACAAACCATTGTGCTCCTGGCTATCATTGCACTCATTCCTTTTTCTTGTAAAAAAATGCTGTGACAATTTCTTTCTCTGTCACCTGACTAATGAATAATTGTAACGTACGTAACAGCACTGCCCCATATTCGAACTGTGTCGCTACATCTGTAATTTTTCATGTAGCTTTAGTCAGCGTTCCAACTTATGCCTAATCGTAGGGTTCGTTGCATGGACTAGCTGAAGATCACAGCACCCCGCCGTTTCGTACGGCGTCACTACAGCGTCTGTTAATTCTCCTGTAGCGTTGGATAACCACGAGAATGTTACATTATAAAAATAAAACAAAAATTATGACCACTACTGCCACCAGAAAATATTTACTTAAAATATATTTTCTGGTGGTACTTAACATGCCTAAAGTGCCCAGAAGACTCTGTTACACCTGGGAGTCCACACCGAACGTCAGTGCCTCTGCAAAGGCCAGCGATCAAGCCTGCCTGGCGCGATCAACTCAATGACGCCATCAAGCGGCGGTGCCGGTCTGTCACGCAACGCACAGCGAGCTCCCTCAGCCCACGAGCCCGATGAAGCAATTGGCGCCTTCCAGTCTGGCGAGTCTTGCGCAATGCGTGGCAACATCCCTCGTCCTTGGATGCAACCTTGCGCAGTGGTGAATCCTCGTTGAAGGATTCCGACGTCAAGGCCAGCGGCGCTTCTGGTTGGACGTTGTTGACGTAAAGATCCACCCGGTGCCCATAAAAAAAGCCAAGCCGTGTGTTGCCAGCAGTTGACCTAGGCGTCAGAGAGAAGCCTACGTATGCGTGCGAGAGAAGACATCTCGTTAATTCGAGCCCCTTCGCTGGCGGCACGGCCGGTGTCCTTGTAAGCGGCGAGTTTCGTGGTGCCCATCCTAAACTCGGCGGCGGCGCCCTTCGTAACAGTGGATAGCAGCTGCGGGATCGGCCGGCGTCAGGGACATCGATGCAGTGAGTGCCTGATGTTTTCCCTTCAGTTCATCAGACTACTGTAGCACTGGTTATAGTAGTTTAGGGAAGGTCTGTGTGAATCATTGGTGAGTGAGCTTTGATCGTTTCACGCCAAGTCAAAGCGCTTTGAAACCAAAATTAATGCGGAGGGTGTAAACACGGCAGTGTTAAAAATTCCTTGCGTGTCTTGCTAGTCGACGTATAGTGGATACGGCAAGTAGATGCTTAACAGGGGCAAACAGCAAGAGGCTAGTGTGAACGATGGAGAACCTGAAAGTGAAGGAACTCATCGAAATTTGTGAGAAACTTTGCCTTACTTTGGGTCGTGCGAAATGGAAGCAAGCGATCCTTGAGATCATGAAGGATGAAGGAGTGTTGGCTGAGAAAGTCGATGAGGGCTGGGCGGATATCAAAGCACGCCGCGAGGAGGCTGAAAGGCGAGAAGTAGAAGTTCGCGAACGTGAAGAAGCTGAACGTGAAGCAATATGCGCCTTCCAGTCTGGCGAGTCTTGCGCACTTGTGTGGCAACATCCCTCGTCCTTGGGTGCAACCACGCGCAGCGGCAGGTCCCCATTGGAGGATCCTGACATCATGGCCAGCGGCGCTTCTGGTTGGACGTTGGCGACGCAAAATCCACCTGGTGCCTATAAAAAAAAGCCAAGCGGCGCGACGCCAGCCGTTGACCTAGGCGTCAGAGCGAAGCCGACGTACGCGTGCGAGAGAAGGCATCTCGGCACTTCGAGTCCCTAAGCTGTTGGCCCCTGTGCCGAATTTGTAACGGCTCCATTTCTATGCTGTACATAAACCTTGCCTTAATTCACCATCGTCTTGTCCGCTCGTCTATCAGCTCTGCGCAGAAGCAGTCGCGAGCTGAGTAACACACGCTACCAAACGGCTGGTGACCTCGGCGGCGGAGTTTGGAGCAGTGGTGCTTTCAGGACCGTGTTGGCGTCGCGCCTTCGTAACAACTCCAACTTCCGAGACAGAGAAGGGACCGTCTGGTGGCTTCACAAGCGCCCGCATCATAGGGCAGGGATACGTTGTCCAACCTTTTTTAATGGAGGTCAGTGGTCGATACGCCATATCCACTAGCTGAATGATGATGAAGGAGCTTGCGCTGTCTGTCCGTCCGTACGTCGCGTACAAAGGTTGCTACGACAGAATACGGCGGACAAGCGTACGCCTCGAGGGGCTTTGCCCCTAAAAGTAAGAGCATCGATTGCATTGACGGATAAGCTGTTGTGAGTGTAAAATTCGAAAACTTCTGTAGTATATAACTAGGTTTAAAGGAAAAATACGCTTGGTTTTGAAGAGCAGAGAGTGTTGACGCTGTGGTTTATTGTGGCGCAGAAGCAAGCCCACTTCTATAAGTTCATTCCAGCCTTCGCGAAGATTTCTGTAGCTTGGTTATATAGCTCACAGGCGTCCGATGCGGTAGGAACTGGTGACCATGTCATCCCCGTAAAAGCAATGCACCAACTTCTCAGCTGTCGGGCAATACTTTCCGGATACACTCTGAAATAGATACTGCAATGTCACATTCAGTGAGGAAGGGCTTGCCGTAGTTTCAGAAGGCATACGAGTCTTGTGGTATTCGCAAACGCAATTCATGTTCTGCACTATCGGCGTTCTTTCAAAGCACAGGAATCTCGGAGCGTCCCTGTCGCTCGGTTTGATTCCAATTTGTAGGAACGGTTTCTGGACGTCCTCCGCGACGCTGAACTGATGCTGACAAAACTGCAGCAACATCTTCAACAAATTCAAGTTCGGGCCTTTTTCCAAGAGGTCATACAATGAAGTCACTCCGGAGGCATGGGACAAGGCACCGAAGACAACTCGCAGTTTCGTTATGGTGGATGATTCTCTTGTTACTTCTTGATGGGACACGTAATATTTAGTGCTGGTCGCATCCTCGATGACGGGAACTGGCTCGGCATGGCCATAAGGCACTGTCTGACTGCTGAATCATAGTGAAGCAGTACTTCCTTGCTCTGAGATAACTGATGAGTTATAGGTAGCGAAGTCGCTTGATTGCTACCGCATGATTACCGAGCAGGTCTGATTGCATGTCCTTCTAAGGCAGACAGACTTCATACCTTTCGTCTCGCAGCTCAATGGTTACGTTGAATCTTTTAGCACCTTCTTATCATGGGAGGATGGTTCATCCGCATCTGTGTTCCCAAAACTTTCAATCTGCCAGAACTTTCGTTGTTGTGAGCCTATGAATTCCTTCATCAGGGTGTCACTCATGCAGCAATTTGGCCGTAGTACGCAAACGTTTGCATATGTGCGTGAAGGAATGTTTGTATCGTTTTAAGTGTCCTTGTACTGCCCAACCCAGTGAAGTTTCAATAGAAAAAAGATTTGTCCAACCTTTATGACATGTGACTTCTCTCCTCAAGTATCTTTCCCAATAGGTCTGCGCCAAATAATAAGCTAATGCCTTTTTCGTAGGCAACATGCAGAAAGCAAAGTGCATCAGCTAATTGTTGACGATGATTTCATAACTCTTTGTTGAATTCAAGGTTTTTGGGTACTTCAGCAACCACTTCACAGATGTGTTCTATTTCTATTGCTTTTATGACATGCTGAATATCATCATACTGGCTTTGTAAAGTTACTTCAAGTAGTCTTGTTTGTTTGTTTACAAAAATATTGACGGTAATGTCAATTTCTTCTAACAGCTTCAGGTTCAATTTCCTTGAAACGCCTTTTTTAATGAAGGTACGCTGGCCACCATTATTCATGATTCTTCTTATAACAGCCACCATTTGTGCCTTTCATCCATCCTCTGAAGGTTTGCAACAGTATTGCATCAAGGCTCCTATTGCTACCTGACACAGCGTACATGGAGGTACTGTTTGTTGCGTTTCTTCGTGGCATCATTATTTGAGCAGCTTTACTTGCTTGTCTAGAGCACATCTAAGAAGCGCGTCTTTCATGACAATGTGAGCAGCTCGCCTTCCTTCGACAGTCTCTTGCTCGATGTC